GGTAATGGCAAACATCAAATGGAATGGAAATATATCTGCTTTTGTGAATGGTTCCAACCGAATTCGCCAGATGAGGCTGAAGTTGGACACACAGGCCACACACTATTCCTTTTTGAGGTAGATATTAGTAAATATTATTTTGAAATTCGCCAGATGTGTAAACAAATTTGCATCAAGATGGATAGAAGAAGAAGCAAAAGACGATTCCTTCCTTGAAACTCTTGCACTCCATTCATTTGTCTGATTGTCAAAACCCAGTAACATGTTGTTTAGTGCAGTCTTCGACCGGGGACAATGCACCACCCCTACAACATCTTCACCAACATTGCGAACCCCAGCCACCGACGGAACCGAGGAAGTGGTTACCTCTAGCCTTTCATCTATTATGCACTCTAATTTTCTTTGCCATATCTTGCGGACCTCAACTAACATCCTTTTCTATCTTGATGTTACAAGTGCCGCACAAGGCCCATCGTTGAAGTGCGGGGTCGCATTTTATTCCGTTTTGTACTACTCATTAGTAGCTTGAATGATGGTATGTTTTAGTCCGTGCGGACACTCTTGGCCGGCACTAACCACCAAAGAACGCAGGTCACAATTCGGGTGGCAATGACGCTGAATCTTTCGACTTAACTTTTATAAAATTTTAATCCCGGATTTGATATGCGGTATAACACAATTTGCAGAACTTTCGCTTGTTTTCAACGGTCGCGAGATTCATATCCCTAAATGAAGAGGAAATCTTGAGGGGTCGGGGTTTTCAAGTCATTTCTGAAAAAAAGCTAAGGAAATCATGGATGATAGAAATACCGATTTCAAGTCTGGGGGTCGGAATAGCGTTCGGATTGAGAAAGTGTTTGGGATTACAAGCAAGGGGACGTTAGGCAGCGACAAATCAATTCTTTTCGTTACAACGGGCAGCTTATAAATGGACTCAGGGAAACCCGTCCACAATCAGTCTTTTTCCTTGAGAAGGTAATGTGACCATTTCCATAAGGAATGAAACGGCTGATACAATATCGGTCTTTTCTCCATGGTGTCTCAAACAGATTGTTATCTGGTTAAAAATAAAGTACGCGTTTACAGGCTAATGGACCGTACTAGTTGAACGGTAATTAAAACAGCAAATAAACTGCACCGTTTCAACCACTGAGCTATGGCTTCAAAATCAAAAGAGAAAAATCAGCATACCTAACTAGTGTTACGCATGGTTTACTTACTGGTTCTGTAGACATGCAAAGCGAACCTCTAGGATGAGGTTCACATGTTTTTTTTCCAAATGTAGTACGCACAGGACATTCGCATGGGTGTAAGACAAGTAGAGGTACCAAAGACCACGGCATAGCTGTACAATCGCTTGGTCGACCCGCATCAGCTCAGTGCGAATGAATAGTACTCAAAGGTCGGTAATATAATAGGAATCTTTACCATGCGGTTATCCCAAGCAGAACTCTTGGAAGGGAAAACGGGTAATTTGACGCTAGATCAACAACCTGCACATTTGTACGACGAATGCACGTCCATATCGGTGTAAAGCGTTTAGCCATTATAGATTGGACAAAGATAACAAGCATACTTGTTGAAACCCAGTCGAAATGCCCGACTAGTGTGGTTATTGTGGCAAGTGATGGTAGTGTAGATGCGTACCGTACCTTGGCAACGTTAGGGCAGTTCAACTAACTCGCAGTATACTGATAATTAGTCACAAGATTACACCAGCCGGAGCGACTGGACAGGTTGTTTTCCTGAGTTCATTTGCCTGGTACTGAGAAGTAGGATTCCGAGTCAATGTGATGATGTAAGGAGGAAAGCCCTTCGCTA